TCTCATCTCAGTTTGTTAACTTACTTTTGTTCTCATCATTTTGTTTTTATCCACTGGACGTAAGCAGATACCACATCCCTCTCCCGGAGGTGCTTGCAGGAAGTGACAAAAGCACATGGGCAGGCATTTGGGGAGATTGAGGCCATCTAGGCTCCTCCTTAGTTGATTCTGGGATTTAAAAAAAAATGTTGCCACACAGCAGACACCTACCTTGGCAACTGACTCGCTTTACTCCTAGGACTTTGGTGGTAAGGTTATGCTTAGGAGAAACAGATTGCTGGCAGAACTGCATGTAGGCTTGCAGTTCCACATCAGTTTAGGGAAACTGCAGAATATGGTAGGGGGCTGCAGAATCCAGCTCTCCCTTTCCATTTAAATAAAGGAAGTTTCTAGCCATTATAGTGGTGAAGGTGCACTTGAAACTGTGCTTGAGCAATGCTTGCCCATGCAGGAGAGATGTCTTAACAAGAGATCTAGTGATTGTGGGTGGGGCTAATGCACCCACACAGAATAGCTCCCCCTGCCCCTCAATGACTAGCAAAGCCAGAGCAAATTTAGAAAAAAATGGTTTAAAAAATGCAGAATAAATGGAGGCTGTAGAATTGAGTTTTTCTTGGGGCAGGATTTGCATTTTAGTTGTAGCAGGGAGAATACCCAGCCTTGAGCATTAGCTGCTCCTAACTGTAACTTAGGGACGTGGTTGGCGCTGTGGTCTAAACCACTGAGCTTAGGGCTTGCTGATCAGAAGGTTGGCGGTTCGAATCCCTGCCCCGCGACGGGGTGAGCTCCTGTTGTTCGGTCCCAGCTCCTGCCCACCCATCAGTTGGAAAGCACGCCAGTGCAAGTAGATAAATAGGTACCGCTCCGGCGGGAAGGTAAACGGCGTTTCCGTGCGCTGCTCTGGTTCACCAGAAGCGGCTTAGTCATGCTGGCCACATGACCCGGAAGCTGTACGCCGGCTCCCTCGGCCAGTAAAGCGAGATGAGTGCCGCAACCCCCGAGTCATTCGTGACTGGACCTAATGGTAAGGGGTCCCTTTACCTTTACTGTAACTTAAAATGAGACAAGCCCAGGCGCATGCAGTACAGGATAGTGGTGGCGAAGAGGCTGAGCTGTTGACCAGGGAGTCCCTGCTTCCGTCTCATTTTTGCCATTCTTTCACTGGATGGTCTTAGGTAAGCCACTGTTCTGTCAGCCTTCGCTTCAGCCATGCTAACACACACAACACAATCTGTAATAGAGGAATGATTGTAGTGACCTATTGCACAGGCCGTTTGTAAGGATGTTGTGATAAGCCAGCTGAAGTGTTCGGAATAGCAGAAACGTGTTTAAACAATTTCTATTATATTAAGAGGGACGCGGGTGGCGCTGTGGGTAAAAGCCTCAGCGCCTCGGACTTGCCGATCGAAAGGTCGGCGGTTCGAATCCCCGCGGCGGGGTGCGCTCCCGTTGCTCGGTCCCAGCGCCTGCCAACCTAGCAGTTCGAAAGCACCCCCGGGTGCAAGTAGATAAATAGGGACCGCTTACTGGCGGGAAGGTAAACGGCGTTTCCGTGTGCTGCGCTGGCTCGCCAGATGCAGCTTGTCACGCTGGCCACGTGACCCGGAAGTGTCTGCGGACAGCGCCGGCTCACGGCCTCTAGAGTGAGATGAGCGCACAACCCTAGAGTCTGTCAAGACTGGCCCGTACGGGCAGGGGTACCTTTACCTTTTTTTTTATTATATTAAGAGCAAATGCAGCCCATTGCCAAAAAGCAGGGGAACCTGAGGAGCTGCCAACAGAGACAGCCTCCGGAATGCCACCCTGAGCTGTGCCTTGTGCATGTATAGCTGCGCCACCCCAGATGTAGCTGCATCTGCTTGGTGCGCAGAAACAACTAGAAGCCAGCACTGGCTAAAAGAAGACATTAAGTCCCCGCGAATGTGTTGATTTTCTGTCCAAATCAAGAGGCTTGGGGAATGCCCTTTGCAACTGCCAGGTGCCCACTCCAGAACGGACACATTATCCTATAGCCGCTAACAAAAGAGATGAGGAGTGACAGGGCAGCTGAGAAGCACAAGGCAAGCCTCCTGCCGGAGTGCTAAGGAGGACTTGATTGATGGCTCCAGTTGTCCTGCCAAAACTACCTCCTCCACACATTCCAGAAACAACTTTATTAAAGGAGGTTTTAGGCTGGTGCAGACATCTCTCCACCGCCTTCCCTTTAATCAGATTTGTGTGTTTGTGTGAGGGCATGCATGCTAATTATCGTCATTCTTTAGGCTGGCTAAGATCCTAGCAGGGTTCTTTGACAGGTGACAAAGCCAATGGCAGTGCAGGCATTTCTCAGCCGGGGTGAAAGACATTACTCTATAGGCACCAAAGGAGGGTGAACTTTGAAAAGCCTCCCTTTTGCGGTCCTGCTGGTTGTCTGCCGTAACATAGCCTGCTGTTTCTTATGTGGGGTTCAGCAACTGGGGAGGCCCTGCCCCACGGACATACAGGAGGCCGGCTGATTCCTGGAAATGCTGCTCCTCACAGGCCTGGGAAATCCCCCTCCCTCCCTTAGTGGGTTGCATCTGGCTTCAGGATCGTTGGGCCAAAGAGAAGGAGGGCCTGCAAACTGGAGAGTTCTGGTGGCTTCTGATCCTGTTGCTCACACTGGTTGCTCCACGCAAAATAAGAATAGCGATAGTGTTTGGAGCGTGGATCCTTTGTTGAATTTGGACCCCAGGCAAGTGCCTGCCCATAACACCTTCTAGAGCTGGCCTTGTCTGCTGAGGAAGGGAAAGGAGACATAGGAGACTAGGAAAAACATTGGTTTAGGGGAACAGAACCACCACCATAAATCTCAAAACAGCAGGTGGCTTTTAAAATGCTGGTGAATTTGAGACAAGTCAGCTAAAGACAAGTCATGGATTGGTTGACATACATACATACATACATACATACATACATACATACTTGTGTGTGTCACTTTTGCACAACAGATCCACTTTTAAAGAGAACAGCAAATGGTATTTTGTGGTAAGAAAAGTGACTGGAAAATGGAAAGTGTGAGATAATTACTGTGTGATGGTGATGTTGTGTAACCTCCACTCAAATCTGTGAAAAAAACTTGTTTGCTCAGTAAATGCTTTGGAAGTGACCCCAGATGCAAAGATGCCTCGCCAGATCTGCATGTACAAACGCACCCTTATTCATTCTCGGGGTGGGAACCCTGTTCCTTTTTGCCACTTAATTTTGATGAAGTCACCAATAGGAGGTCACTGCAGGAGCACAGAACCACGCAAATTATATTGTAGCTCTAGGCTGGAAACAGAAGTAGATTCCAAGAGATGGCGCTTGGCTACTACCGTATATTCCGGTGTATAAGACGACCCCCAACTTTTCATGTTAAAATATAGAGTTTGGGATATACTCGCCGTATAAGACTACCCTCGCCTGCAGCCAACTAGAGGCAGCCTCTTCCCGCCTCGGCTGCCGCCTCTCTCGAGCCCGCAACCGCTGCCTGGCTGCCTCCCGCGCAGCCGTCACCACGCGGGTTAACTCTCTCGCTCCTGCCCCCACCTGCCACAACCATACCCGGCGTATAAGACACGCCCCGACTTTGGAGAAGATTTTCTGGGGTTCAAAAGTTGTCTTATACGCCAGAACATACGGTAGTTAAGTGATGGGATGCCTTTTATCCTGGAGAAGTTGACCTTCAGAGTGGACATGAGAAATGGTGGTGATTCCTCAGGGGTAAAGTAATGGTCCGGGAGTAGTGGGGTATGTCTGTCTGTCTCTTTGAAGGGCAGTCCTCTTCTTTCCTTCCAGAACATGAATCAAGTCACCTGCTTTGACTTCACGCCAGCAGAAAAGAATGCATGTGTTATCTGCTATGCCCTACATCCGAGGGCTTGTCACACTCCCAGCTTGCTAAAGCACAGACATACTGTTCCCACAGGGAAATGGCTACATACTATTTTGAACTGTATCAAATATATATATTTAAAAGTCCAGATTGTTCCCCAAGTGTGGGACAAATGGGCAAATTAACTTGTAACACAGTTAAATACTGAAACAAGTTTAAGAAAGCACAGCAATTGTAGCTTCAGTGTCTCTGGCCCTGTTCCTCCACAATTCAGGGCCACCAACTTCACCCATGCAAAATTTATACCAGCTGATGCCACACTAGTCTCACTCTCAGGATGGAGAGTCGGATACTGCAAGCTTCAGGTGCGAAGGCTTCAGCATGCAGGTGAACTGGAGAAGTGAGCTTCATGTTTTATTGGCTCTAAAACACGATGAGAGGGGCACAAGCTCAATATCAACAAACAAGTTTGATATTTAGCAAGAGGTCATGGTGTTTTTTCAAGCCATTTGGACCAAAAAAGAGAATTTATTTGTTGAACCGCAATAACTCATCCTGAACAAGGTGCAGCAGTTGTGAAGGCCGTAGAGTGAATCAGCTCTACTGTGCCAGTTTTGTTATTTAAAATAGTGAATTTTTAAAATAGTGAATTTCAAGTGGTATGCTTCAGATGGGGTTGCAGGAGAGGCACAGCAGTAATGCTAGTGGCAGGTCAAGCCTCAGCCTATTTGCTGCCTAACACGCTTTCAGTGTGCAGTTGGTCCTCTGATTCCAGCTCCACACTGAAAAGCTACCTAGAATGGCATTAGATGCCTAGGCAAGCCTGTGTGGGATGCACACAGGGTAGGAGGGGGGTCTTGTGTAAGAACCAGCCTGAAGAGATTTTAAGACATCATCACAAGGAGGCAGCGCACCCCCCAAAATACCCTGGGTAAGCATGTGGCGCTTCAAAATGCGAATAATGTTGTCCGTCGCACTTTGGACCTTGTTGTCCTAATGTGCATGCAAACTCTCAAATCTTGAAGGCACACTCTGAGCGCTGAAATTGCAGGAGCTCAAACTGATTGCATGCATAAAATCGATTTTCCTACCAAGCTTTTGTTTGGGAGGGCTTGGGGTCATGGCGGCGGGAGCAGCAGCAGAGTAAATGAAAACTAAAGCAGAGTCACAGATTCCTCCTCTCTTTATTTGCTACAACAAATTACAGTGGCTGCTACAAGAGGCACAGGTGCCAGTAACACACTCGTGCAGTGAAGCCGTGCTTTCGGGAGCTTTGATTTGGCATGGAAGGCAGCAAGTGATTGAGCTCTTTGCAGGCACACTCGGCACCCCCCAACCCCAAATCTTTCAACGTGCTCTTGGGGGGGGGGAGCAGCGCAGATTCAACAAGGAGGTGCTTTTGCTGTGTCAGACACATTCGCTACGGTCATACGCGTAGAAACAAGCACTTTAAAAAACTCTTCATAAATAGACCACAATTAATGGTTTTGGCTTCTTCAGAGACGGAAGAGCGAGTGCACATGCGTGGAAAGGAATTGGGGGCTAGGACTTGAGAGTTCCATGTTGGCAGCTCCCAGCTGTGAAGCGAAGGAACAGTAGGAAAAGGCGAGCAGAGAGGCAAGATTGCTCGGCAGTGGAGCCTCAGACAGAGCAGCAAATACTGTGCTCCCCCTCCCTCCATATTTTGGAGAGGCTAGAGCCCGCCCTGCCGTCTAGCTGCTCTGCCCACCTGGCCCAGATTACAGGGTCTGCGAAGGCGGAATAAATCTAGCCACTGTGAGGCATCTATCAAGATTTAGCTTCCTGTGGGCTTAGCCATGTGGATTTTTTAAAAATCGCCAAAGCGGTTTGATTCTTTCCCATAGCAACACCGCAGACAACAAACCTCCACAAAAACAAACAACAACAACCACCCCAAGTGCAGCTGCTGAAGAGCTCCATGAGGGGAAGTCCATGCTGCCCACAAGCCCCCTGGAAGGGGCCTCCGCCAAGCCCAGCTCAAGCGAGAATAGCCTGGGGATACGGGAAAGGCAAAGAATAAATGGAGGCCCGGCCACTGGGGTCTATTTTGTAAAAGAGCAATCAAGCCATTTCCCCAGCACTACAGTAGGACAGCACTGAAATTTGCAAGCAGTGATTTATTGCTCTGAAAAAGGAGGGGGGTGTCTAAGGGCCCTTTAGTCTTCATGTGTGCAATGGTCCTAAAAGCTCAGCTCTAAAAAATTCATGCTAGCAGAGGAAACCTTAAAATCATGCATACGGTGTATGTTGTCCTTTTGCTTCTTGAAGCAAATCTCCTCTCCCTCCCCAAAGCCTTTGTGCCTATTCTTCCCTGCAAATCTATTTTCAAAGTCAGTCAGAAAATGCAAATATTGCAAGTTAATTCTGTGTACAGGTAGATAAATTCTGCATATCTGTGAATCTGATTTGGAGCACGGAATATGAATTTCCTGCTACAGAATACACACGGACCTAGAACTTGGTGCGGGAGGTTGGGGTGGAGGAGGTTTGACACGCCACACACCAATTCCAGGACTGGAGTGCAAGAAGGCACCAAGCAACATTCGTTTTTTAAAACAGCAACGTGAGTGGCACAAATAACAATACTGCAAGAAAGCTGTCTGTCCATTTGGACTATCAGCATAATGCTGGGTGGGACAAGAAGCCAAAAACAAACTGATTCAGTTTAAAGGAGCCAGAATCAGAAAGAGCAGGTGATGTTTGGCGAGGTAAGCGTGAACTGCTACCAGGAGGTTGTGGGTCTGCACACAGTCAGGGCAGGGCACACCAGGACACTTGACAGGCATCAGCTAAATGCACAGAGGTCACAGCCATGGACTCCCCATAATGGGGAAAGAATGATAAAAAAGGCAAATAAAAATGGCTTGGCCACTGCGCTCTCCACCCCTCAAATCCCGTCTCTCAAAAAGACTGAACGCCATTTGAAAAGTGTATTAGTAGGACAACTGAATTCAAGTTGCTTTTCCCAGCCAAACAAGCCCAGGACGAGGGTTGTTGCAGAATGTTCCCTTTCTAGATAAAAGATCTGGTGTGGAACCCTTTGTTCCAAAGGAGGTTATTTGCCCAAGTGTTATTCTGGGGAAATATCTGGTCCCTCCCTGCGGAGCTCCTAGTCCTTCTCTAGCTCACCCCCTCGCCCCAGGCTCCCTTCGCTCCCGGCCCTTTCAGCTTCTTCTCCAGTGGCTACTGAAAAAGCGTCAGCCTACAGCATCTGTAGAGCCTGAAAGGAACTTCATCCTCAACAGAAGGATGAAAAAGGTCCACTTCTTTGGTCAATAAAAAAAAAGGCAGCATGCGGTATGCAGTGTTGAGAGAAGCACACAGGGTGAATGCAGGGTGCGAATCCCTCACCGCCTCAAAAACCCACCCAGGAGTCACTTCTCGGTGAAAAAAGAAGATTCTAAGAACACGACACTATGATTGCTTAAAAAACAGATACAACTGAAGAGTCCGTCCAGCAGGCGGGTGAGCTTGGAGTCCTCCAGCGAAAGGTGGCGGTGGTAGCAGTGTCAGTGCCAGCTCTTCAACTCCCTGGATGGTGAAGTTTCAAGACAGGAGGCACCGTGGAGATTAGGAGCTGGTTTTGTCATCTTTCAAATCGTACCTGCAAGATAAGGAGAGCCTTTGCTGAAGACCTGACACAAAACCACCTCAAAGGAAGGGTTCCCAGGCTGTTAAAGGCACTCTGAAACCCTCCAAATCACTACAATAAGGGAAACCACATCTCATACCACTTTGGGGGAGGCAGGAGGATGTAAATCCTGGTTTTTGTAAGTCACTGAATGCACCCTAAAAAGAACCATGGGAGCTCACATTCCTCCAAGCTCCTTTCCTTGTCCTTACATGTCAATAGGCTAGGCAGCATCTGTTCCACTTGTAATACACAGAGGATGCTCAATAATGCCTAATTGTGACTGTGGAAAATTCACTACGAAGTCTGAGGGAATTTGGTACAGCATCTCATGTTCCACATCTTCCCGCTACCCTCCTTCTTCCAACATGCCCATCAGAAGAAATGCCCCCATACTGCTAGATGGTTGTGTGCAGGCTGCCGTCCCCCCCCCCCTTGTCCCCTACACAGGGAGAGAGTGAATCAGGATGTCCCATTGCTGTCAACTTTTCCCTTTTCTTGTGAGGAATCCTATTCAGAATAAGGGAATTTCCCTTAAAAAAGGAAAAGTTGACAACTATGGGGTGTCCCAGCTTGCCACCCTGGGTAGTCATGCAATTTGTATCACTCTGTTCCAATCACAGAATCAATGCTCAATGTGATTTTGTGACAACTGTGGCTTTACTCTAGAGATCTCAGCATCTGTGGCCTTATTTTTATGCTTGCTAGTTGATCTGGGTGTTCACAAATGGATTCAATTTACAAGAAAGGAAATTCTGACACCAGGAAGACCTCTCTGAGGGTAAGAGCTGTTTGACAGTGGAACAGGCTTCCTGGGAGATTGTGGACTCCCTTCCTTGGAGGTTTTTAAGCAGAGCTTGGGTGGCCACCTGTCATGGATGATTCCTGCACTGCAGGGAAGTTGGACTAAATGACTCTCAGTGTCTCTTCCAACTCTACAGTTCTATGATTCTCTGAATTTCTATGAATGATTGTATATGCACTTGCAGCCTAGGCTCCAAGTTCAGGAGAGAGTTTTAAGAAAGAGCCACATTCAAGGTGGGGTGGAGGGGAAAGGGATAGGGGAGTGAGGAAAAAGGAAAATAGTGGACAGTGCCTCCAGGACTAGGGTCCAATACATACTAGCTCTGCACATTTTTGTTCAGTATTCTGGTTTCGTTTGCTCATGAGGCCACCACTACTGTCCCCCCCCCCCGAATTCCAGACCCCTTCAGGACCTCTTTTAGCTATTGCATGATTCTTTCACTGGGTAAAAGGTAAAGGTACCCAGTCTTGACAGACTCTGGGGTTGTGCGCCCGTCTCACTCAAGAGGCCGGGGGCCAGCGCTGTCCGGAGACACTTCCGGGTCACATGGCCAGCGTGACAAAGCTGCATCTGGCGAGCCAGCGCAGCACACGGAACGCCGTTTACCTTCCCGCTGGTAAGCGGTCCCTATTTATCTACTTGCACCCGGGGGTGCTTTCGAACTGCTAGGTTGGCAGGCGCTGGGACCGAGCAGCGGGAGCGCACCCCGTCATTGCGGGGATTCGAACCATCGACCTTTCGATCGGCAAGCCCTAGGTGCTGAGGCTTTTACCCACAGCGCCACCCGCGTCCCTTTCACTGGGTACTTCCACATAAAATAGCTGCATGTTGTTTATTATCAACAGGCGTGGCTTCCAGAACTAGTCTGGCACCTTCCTCCCTTGCTCCATCTTTAATACTTAACCTTGTGTGGGTGGGCGTTTTATCCTCCCATTTTTCTCTGTCTGGAAGGAGATCATTGGGTTGTGTTTTGTTTTTAATGCTGCTTCGTTTAAAGTGCACTTTAAAAGCCCTTTCCCCCGAAGCCTTCAGTGTGAGTAGGAATGTAACTGTGATGGTGGCTGCATTCACCCGGCAGTCGTTTTGGGGGTGCATCCTCTTGTTCCCTCCTATGCAAGGTTCATGGAGAGCGTGACCCCCCTCCATTCACCTTCACAGTGGGGGGAAAGAGGCTGGATCTCAAGAAACAGCTGCTGAGGTTGGTGCGAATCCCACCTCCTCAGAAAGGGCCCTGCCATTGCAAAGGTCCTTGGTGGCAGCTGGCTTCTCCTCCCACCAGCTGTTTCCCAGGATTCAGCTTCTTCTTCCTCCCAGTGCAACTTGCATAAGGGAAAGAAACAAGAGGCCAGAAGCCCAGAAATCCTACCCCTCCTCCAAGAGGGATCCTTGGGGTAAACAGGGTCTTTGCTGGGTGGGTGAAGTTCCCCCCACCCACAACAGATTCTTCTAGGAATCTAGCCTCTCCTTTCCTCCTATGCAAGTCAATGGAGGGATTGCTCCATTTCCTTGCACTAACGCTCCAAGCAGATGGGAAGACGAGGGAGGCACAATGTTGTATTCCACAGAATGAGCAGCAACTGCATTGGTGAAAAACGTAAGTGCCACAGTGGCTTGCAAGCAAAGGGGCTTCAGTGTGGATTCCACCTGGAATACTTCACTGTCCCTCGGACAGAGAAAGACCTTTATGGTTCACTGCTCCATGTAGTCAATAAGGGTAAAGGGACCCCTGACCATTAGGTCTAGTCTTGGCTGACTCTGGGGTTGCGACGCTCATCTCGCTTTATTGGCCGAGGGAGCCGGCGTACAGCTTCCAGGTCATGTGGCCAGCATGACTAAGCCGCTTCTGGTGAACCCACTTCTGGTGAAACGCCATTTACCTTCCCGCTGGAGCGGTACCTATTTATCTACTTGCACTTTGACGAGCTTTTGAACTGCTAGGTTGGCAGGAGCAGGGACCGAGCAACGGGAGCTCACCCCGTCGTGGGGATTCGAACCGCCAACATTCTGATTGGAAAGTCCTAGGCTCTGTGGTTTAACTCACAGCGCCACCCGCGTCCCAGTCAATAAGGGACAAGAGACTAAATTTTAGAATCTAGACTCATAGAATTGTAGAGTTGGACGGCACCACAAGGGTCTACTAGTTGAACCTCCCACAAGGCAGGAATTCTTTGCCCAATGTGGGGCTTGAACCCACAACCCTGAGATTAAGAGTCTCATGCTCTACCAACGGAGCTATCCCAGGTCCATCCTCAGTGGCATGGCATACGGAACCATCTGTTTCCCTACCCTAGTCCCAAGAATGAGAGGACCCCTCCTTCAAATCACGTTTTGCATCCTCTATGAAAACGACGGCCCAGGTAGCCAGACCTCCTCTGCCTGCCCAGTGATACTGGAGACGCTATGGGGCAACTGCCCCTCCAGCTGTACTCACCACTGGGGAGCGCCCTGCGACAGGTCCTTCTGCGAGAGGTCGATGTGCACCTGGGAGGGGAAAGCACAGAGAAGCAGTCACATGCCGGCTCCTCTCCAATGGGGAGCCTGAAACGGCAGCTCCTCCCGAGTTCCATACCTTCCCTATCGGCTCCCCTCGGGACATAAAAGACACGCTGTTTTTGATGTAAGCCTCCAGCTTCCTCCGCTGGGCATCGTCCAGCGTCAGATCCCATTCAAACCTGTGGAAAGGGCAAGCGAGTATCAAGGCCGGTTTCACATAGATTACCCCACAAATTTTAATTGCCCTTTTTGGCCAACAGAAGAGTTAAAGGTAAAGGTAAAGGGACCCCTGACCATTAGGTCCAGTTGTGGCCGACTCTGGGGTTGCGGCGCTCATCTCGCTTTATTGGCCGAGGGAGCCGGCGTGCAGCTTCCAGGTCATGTGGCCAGCAGGACTAAGCCGCTTCTGACGAACCAGAGCAGCGCACGGAAACGCCATTTACCTTCCCGCCAGATTTACCTTCTATTTTCACTTTGACGTGCTTTCGAACTGCTAGGTTGGCAAGAGCAGGGACCGAGCAACGGGAGCTCACCCCGTCGCGGGGATTCGAACCGCCGACCTTCTGATCAGCAAGTCCTAGGCTCTGTGGTTTAACCCACAGCACTACCCGCATCCCAACAGAAGAGTTATTTAATGGTAAAGCTGTGAATCCCAGCCCTCCCACCGACGAAACACACTCGATACGAATGCATGCATAGGGCTGGAGCAGGGAATCTAACCTGTGTTAGTGACTGCAAGTAGGGAAGCAGGGAATAATAGTTAGCACTGAGTTAAGTAACCCAAAATAAAATTATCTGATGTCATGGATAGAGCTTGGTAATGGCGACCCCACTTCAACAGTTATTGTTTTCATGTAGTGATGTTGAAATTATTTTTATTAAAATTTGTATACTGCTCTTCATCTAGATCAGTGTTTCCCAACCTTGGGCCTCCAGCTGCTTTTGAACTACAATTCCCATCATCCCTGACCACTGGTCTTGCTAGCTGAGGATTATGGGAGTTGTAGTCCAAAAACAGCTGGAGGCCCAAGGTTGGGAAATGCTGATCTAGATATCTCAGGGCAGTTCACAGCATAAAAATAAAAACACAGAACAAAACGAACTCTCCCCCCCACATTTAAAAGGACTTAAAATGTTAATCAGCCAAAGGCCTGATTGAAAAGGAACATTTTCACCTAGTGCCTAAAGGTATATGATGAAAACACCAGCCGAACCTCCCTGGGGAGAGCATCCCACCTTGGAAAAGGCCTGTTCCTGTGTCGCCACCCTCTGGTCCTCTCCAAACAACCTGACTGTTCACTATAAGCTAGAGGCAGCTCCAGTTCCCAGGAGCTGGTGACCCTTTTAGACACCCACCCACCCTCACACAATGGCACCCTCCCTTACTTCTCATTGAACTCTGGATTGTGGGTCTTCTTCCGCACGGTTGTCTTTCTCTTGGTGACACGGGATTTGTCAGGCAGTAGGATCAGGGAGACATAGGGGTCAGGTGTGTCCTTGGTACCTGACTTAAGATTTCTGAAATGAAGGGAGAGAGGGTTATTAGGATGGGTGGGAACATTCAGTGCCCCTAAATCAAATGGAAGGAGGGATTTGAAGAACTTAATGGCACATATTGGGCCAGATTCAATGAAGTATTTGGGCAAGTGGGAGCTGGTTCAGCAGGACTTTCCCCTCCTCTCAGTCAGTTGGGGGTCAGGGTCCATAGAATCCCCAGAACAGTGTGGGGAGAGGAGAAGGGAGATTGTTCCATCTGGCAGGCAGAAATGTTTGTTCTGATGCAACTATCGAATTAGCATGGAAATGAAATCCTCTCTAGGGGTTGTACCCAATCCTGGTCCTTTCTCAGAGTAGACACACTGAAGTTAGTCATGTCAATCCATAGCAATGGGTCTGTTCTGAGTAGGGCTAAGATTAGATACAACTCTATGCTAACTATAGCAATCACGTTGGGCTGTCTTTTATTATTTATTATTCCAACCATGTACCAGCAAATTCAGGTTGCACAATAATAGCTGATCTGGAGCTTTTGTGCAGCAAGCCCACTTCCCTAAAGATCAGACTTTTAGCATTAAGGAAAGTGACGGGGAAACGTTCTGGAAAGTGTGGGATAAAGCTTGTTTTGATGCAGCAGCATCTACATAACATCTTTGCAACTAGATCAGAGTGAATGCTCATCAAGTAACCAATGTTGTCTGATCTCTCTGCAAATGAATTGGGATGAGTGTTCAATAACCAGGTCACCTGGGAGTGCCCCCCCCTTTTTTTTTACTGCCACTTGGTGTAGAAGCCAAGAGTCAAAGCATACATAAAGTAAAAACCCTCTTTGGGTGGTAGCACAAAATCCAGCAAGATGGCTGAGAATGTACCCATTTTCTATGTGCAGTTAAGAAAACCTCTTTTTGGGGGCTCCATGCCAAAGCCCTCTCTTTGTCCCACTCCTCCCAAATCAACCCCCCTCCAGCCCTTACCTGCAGGAGTGTATGATGACAATGAGTTTGCGCGCATCCATGTTGTACCAGACAGTGAGGCTCATCTGGCCCAGGGGCGAGTTTGACAGCTCCAGGTTACTGCAGGGCAGAAAGACACAAGCCCAGCTGATTATTAGGGGAATCGTGGTAGCACATGGGGCTGGATGAGGAAAGGGCAAGACGTTTTGACACTTTTTTGGCAGCACGTGCAGCTGGAGGAAGGAAATGTGATGGTCAAAGCCTCGTCCATGTTGTCCCCACAGATGCTAAGGGAGCAGAATGCATGAGCGATGAGTATGCTTAGGTACAGCGGTGAGGGAGGGCTCAAGAAGCAGGGAGGTTAAGAACTTCCCTGCAGCTCTCATTGCTGCAGGGGGGTGGGGGTGGGGAAGCAGACTTGCTGGTGTTCCCAAAGCCCAAATGAGCACCGTGCTGCAAGACATGGAGCAGAGTAGTGCTCCCATCTTTTAAAGTATTAAATATATTACGTACATAAACAGCAAGCGTTGTTGTTCCCTTTCTGGCAAAAAGCTCCAAGGCCACTCAGCCGATCTGTATCAACAAGATGTTATTCAAAAGCCCACAGTGTACTGGCTTCAATTTCACAAGCTGACCCTGGACCCTCAGAATTCAGACTCTAAAGCGGGAGTGGGGAACCTTCTTCGGGGCAAAGGCCGTGTGGTGGAAAGCTGTGGGGGGATCCATTCCAGTAGCAAGTAGGGCCAGACCCACACACAGCCACACACAATCACGCACCACAAGTTACTCCCAATGGAAACAGAGGCCTATATTTAACTCTTAGTAACTCCATGCAAGTTTCACCTGGTATTTTCTCCCACAGACTTTTTAAAAAAACAACAAGGACTGTAACACGTATAAACACCCTTGATCTGCCTTAACTGTGAAAAAGGCAAAAGGAATTCAGTATTCCCAGTAGAATGATGCAAATAACACCAATAAACAGATGGAAAACAAGTCCCCCATTAGAGCTATCCAAAGTGTCAAATTTCAATAAACATTTGCATCCCCAAAACTGTATACTGCTTTGGACCTATGGAGCCTTGCCCAGCGTGGTAGTCAAACACCTCAAGTGTCACCTTTCCCCATAAACTCACTCAGGCTCAGAGATTAACATCTGAGGCTCTCCTCTGCAGTCCATCTCCAAAAGATGTTGGAGGGTGAGAACAAGCCTCTCCTGTGGTGGCCCCCACTTCAGGAATGTTCTCCCCAGGGAAGCTTTCCTGGCGCTGACTTTGCCTTCCTTCTGATGCCAGGAAAAGACCTTCCAGCAATTTGGACAGCTGTAATGACCCGGCTTTTGGCTGTTGTGGGGGGGCACTTATTCTGTTGTAGGGTGGCTTTTGTGGATGAGTACTTTTTAGTATAGATTTAGTTTTAATCTATTTTTATTACATATTTGTATCTTATTGTCTCTGCAAACCACTTCTGGTGATGTGAAACAATGCATACAATGAACTGAGACAAATTTTGGAACACAAGTCTACCTCTCTGCCAGGGCCAACACAAAAGTTGTTTTCTCATGATGTGGGCAGTCTACTCTTGATACTTTGCTCCCTGTCTCCTTCCTCCCCCTGCTACCTCCATCTCTTCTTCACTATCATTGTTTGGTTGCTTCATTAACAGCAGTCTAATACCCTCCCTCTGAAGAAGGGGCCCTTATTTAGAGAGAGGCATTCTGGCCGAGGATGCACCAAAGAGTGCCTGCACGGCTGCAAATTTTGCCACAGTGACAGCCAAGTACCTTAAACTGTCCTTGCTGCCGTCATGGCAATGCATGGGGTGGAGAGCACCTGCGCCGATGCCACGTTGCAGGCAGCTGATCAGGTGAGCGGCTGCAGCAGCTGTGGCAGGAATGAAGGAGTGGGTGAAGTACCAGCAGCTATCAGCTGCAGCATTGGCCAACCCTGTGGCAGCGCAATCCTCTTCCCTCTGAGCCACGTGGCTCAGCATGGCTGATGGTGTGTGTGGCCAGGGCTGTTCTCCACTTTGATCTTCTTGCTGAGGAAGGAGCTGCAACTGTGAAGTTTGCATGGCAGGGCTGGATGAAATCCGACAGCCTGTGAGCCAGGGCTCCCCATCCTTGTTCAAAAGTTGCCTCCCTCTAAACAGGCCTCTGTGAGATCAGCAAAGACAGACCAATAGCAGCCATACAGGCTGTGACCTCCACCAACCACCCTCCTGCCAGTGGGACAGCAGAGCAGATCAGCCAAACATGTCAAGAAAAGTGGGCCCAAGCAAAGAAGACAGAGAGCGAGAGTCAGGTGATCAGATGTGGAGGAAGGAGGAGTCAAGACTGTCAGGAAAGCGATCTAATGACCCTCAGCCTCTCTTATTGATGCATCAGAAAATGTGGTATCCTTGCAGCAGTGGCACTAAGATAAAGGGCAGTGCATTTACCCTCTGCAAGGAGCTAAGGCAGGGATAGAGAACGTGTGGCCCTCCTGATGTTGTCAGCCTGGATAGCCAATGATAGGAGTTGTAGTCCAATAACCCCTGGAGGACAATCCCTGGCCTGAGGAGCTCAATTTTATTGTGCAAGATCAAATTGTTTGCTGGGTCCCACACCCCACAGGGTCGCCCTTCTTTACCTGCTGGCCTGTGGCAGGCGCTGGCGCAGCTCTTGAGTGGAACCAGAGTCTCCATCCTCCCGGATGTACAGCTCCGTCTCAGATCCCTTCTGGGAGGCCTCCTCATTCTCTTCTCCAGCCCCAGCATGAAGGGCCTCCACACCGGAGTGCTGAGAGATCAGAACCTGCGGGACGAGGCAAACAAACATGGAAGATGATTTCCCAGGACAGTAGTACGGATTCATCCTGTGGTCAAGAACGGGGACCTCAACACCAGCTTCACCAGAACTTTGCTGGAGAGACCCGATAGGTGAAGATAAAACAAAACACTGGCTCTTCACATTCCCCCTACATATTATGAAAATAAGAACAACGGCACAAAAGGTAGTATTATGTACCAGACGAACCAGACCAGACCTGACTTCTCTGTGTTGCAATTTTTTACATATTGTTACGTACGAAACACAATTTAAAAAAGGAAATAATCCGTAGGAAAACAGGTCAGAGTCTGTTAGACTGTTCAGAGCTGCTGTTTCCCACATTGCCACTTACCCCCAGCTGCACTCGCATCAGGACCTGGATGGCAGGACCAGAGTTGCTGAGTTGGAACCAGCGGTCAAGGATGAGCCCCTCTGCTGACAGCAGCTGCTCAAGTGGGAGTGACAGGGTACCCAGGGTATGCCCATCATCTTTCACCTGTGGGAAAGACAGACAGGTGAGGACCGATCAAAATTTCACAGGTGAAGTAGGCAGGAAGGATGAGGATCACACATGGTGTGCATTGGAATACAGTGGTACCTTGGGTTAAGAACTTAATTTGTTCTGGAGGTCTGTTCTTAACCTGAAACTGTTCTTAACCTGAAGCACCACTTTAGCTAATGGGGCCTCCAGCTGCCGCCGCCGGGCCGCTGGAGCACAATTTGTGTTCTCATCCTGAAGCAAAGTTCTTAACACGAGGTAATATTTCTGGGTTAGCGGAGTCTGTAACCTGAAGCGTCAGTAACCCAAGGTACCACTGTAACCCCTTTTGTACCCTGCAATCTTTGAAACTATCAAGGGGCAGTCTGGTAAAGGGTCCTCTGGTAGGAACTGGGTTGAGAGAACGTGCAAAATCTCCAAGGCTGCTTCTCCCTTCCCTGCCCTGCAAGGACGTAGCTCACAGAAGAGGGAAGGGCTGAAAGGAAGCAAGTTGCAAGCCATCGCTCCCTGTCCTGGCTTGCCAAGAGCTCACACATACCCCCTGTGCTCTTGGGTTCCCGGGCAGCAAACCTGCATGGGATCTGCTGCTAAAACACAAAAGAAAATACTTTCATTCCTTGCAAGGTATTTGAAGTCCTAACATGATGACTTCAAAACACTTTGAACATGATGGAATGAAAGCCACACCCACCTCTCAAATTTGGCCTGCAAACATGCTCCTGATAAGGATCTGGCCCATGGAGGCTGGTCCATTAGCATGTGTGGGGCACTGCCCCCCAAGCTCAGTCTCCCCCCAGCCAGCCCCCACCTGTCTGCCTTCTTACTCATGACAAATTGGGGGGGGGGGGGCTCTGCCTGTCATCTGCTCTGGCTCCACCTACAAGTCCCAAAGGGCACCAGCCACCACTGGTTCAGAGTTCAGGGCAAGCCACCTACCGTATTTTTCGCCCTATAGGACGCACTTTTTCCCCTCCAAAAATGAAGGGGAAATGTGTGTGTGTCCTATGGGGCGAATGCAGGCTTCAGGAGTTCCCGCCGGGCTCCCAAGGCTTGCGGACAGCAGCCTGCTGAGCTTGCAGATAGCAGCCTGTTCTGGGGGCTGGGGGGGAAATAATTCCCCCCTTCATTTCCCCCCCAAAAAACTAGGCGCGCCCTATAGGGCGAAAAATACGGTATATTATCTCAGCAATCCTTACAAGTACCCAGTAAGAGGGCTAAGGCTCAGAGTATAGTGACTTGTTGGCGTAACTCCATCCAGTGAGTTTTGGCTGAAGCACAGCAATCCACTCTTGCAGTATGAAGTGCTCAGCTCCCAGAATGGCTTTGGCTTTCTCACCTGATGTGGTGTGAATTAGGCCATAAACATATCTCTTGTGGCTTTTGCTGCTTGCAGACTGCCCCACTGTAGCAGGGGAGACTGGAAGTTCTCCCCAACAAGGAGGACAGGCATTCTGGGGGGAGGGAGAGCGAGAAAGTGCTACCTGCAACTCCAAAGATTCTGCATGGGGCCTCTTGATAAGGAAGGAAAAAGCTTCATTCCACACTGGCTCTGCAGTCTGAGAGGAGACCTGAGGGCAGAGACACAAGGCCGTGATAAAATCTCTCCACATTTAGAAAATACAAAAGGGAAGAAAATATCACAATCTGAGGTTAGCCAGCTGTTTATAAGACAGTATCAAACAAATCCCACTAAGAATGGAAGGGAAAGCTAGTTCAAACCATATTTAGATGACTGCCTTGAGATTAAGTTACATAAGAATAGTTGATTGATGAAGCTATTCTTTCCCTTTGTTACAGCAATTTAACTAAGCACTAGTACTTGAATTTACTTTCTCACCCCGCCTCCCAAACTTTTGTGATGTGTTGTTCTGGGAGTCTTTTTTGGCTAAACAGCCAGGTAAAAATGCTTCAGATGTTCTGCTCCACCTGTGGGCTAATCTATTTCTATCAACACTCATTTTCACTATCACTGAAGGAGAGCTACCTATAGCTCAGTAAGGGTTTCCAAATACTTCTTATTTTAAAATAATTCAAAATATGCTCAAACCTTAGTTCTCCCATCTTTATGCTACCAATTTAGGATAAGATCTGATGTGATCAGTGCTTTTTTGTAGATTAAAAATGAGGATCGATACGTAAATACTGACGTCACATTTTGGGACTTATGATCAAGTGCTCTTTTTTAAATTAATATTTTATTAAGAGAATTTCATTTGTAAAAAGACACGAGTGAGGAAAAAGAAAGAAAAAAGTGAGAATAAAAAAAGAAAAAAATACTGTTACATTACCATACATTAAAATATGATCGTAAGTCCCCAAATGATCAAGTGCTCTTAAAGTTTTATTTGTTTAATAATAATGATAATATTTATACCCCACCCATCTGGCTGGGTTTCCCCACTCACTCTGGGCAGCTACCAAAAGAACACTAAAAACAGAATAAAACTTCAAACATTAAAACTTCCCTAAACAGGGCTGCCTTCAGATGCCTTCTAAAAGTCAGGTAGTTGATTATTTCTTTGACATCTGATGGGAGTGCGTTCCACAGGGTGGGCACCACTACCGAGAAGGCCCTCTGCCTGGTTCCCTGTAACTTGGCCTCTCACAGTGAGGGAACCGCCAGAAGGCCCTTGGAGCTGGACCTCAGTGTCTGGGCAGAATGATGGGGGTGGAGATGCTCCTTCAGGTATACAGGGCCAAGGCCGTTTAGGGCTTTAAAGGTCAGCACCAACACTTTGAATTTTGCTCGGAAATGTACTGGGAGCCAATGAAGGTCTTTAAGGACCAGTGTTATGTGGTCTCGGCGGCCGCTCCCAGTCACCAGTCTGGTTGTTGCATTCTGGGTTAGTTGTAGTTTCTGGGTCACCTTCAAAGATAGCCCCACGTAGAGTGCATTGCAGTAGTCCAAGCGGGAGATAACCAGAGCATGCACCACTCTGGCGAGGCAAGTAGGGTCTCAGCCTGCATACCAGATGGAGCTGGTAGACAGCTGCCCTGGACACAGAATTGACCCAATTGACACAATGGAGATCAACTGACACAGAAGAAGTCCTTGCCCTTTAAATAAGGGTGAATGTACGTGTGCACACAAACACATTCGCCCACACATTTACCCCAGCTATGCCACCGCCCTCTAATATCGTGGCTTCGTCTTTTCACCCTCAACCCTCCACCTCCACTCTTTGCCAGTTTCCTTAGACTGCTCATGTGCCACCTACCCACATCCTGCCCCAAAGCAATTCTTTACTGCTCACTCCAGCACAACCCTTTCCCTCTGAAAACAACCACCATGTTTCCCCCCTTGCCTTCACCTTGGTCTTGTAGGAGACACCACGGACAGAGAGACTGGCGTAAGGACTTGGGGATTTTGAACCCTTCCGCAGCTGGAAAAGAGAAAATGGTTGAGAGTTTCTAGGATGCTCAATTATAAGTAGACATTGTGTGTATTTTGAGCATGTCTAAGCACGTAGCACAGGCCAAGAATTTGCTCCAGTGGGAAGCCCTATATTCTGTTTTTGAACATGCCTTATGTATTCTCGTAATGACTGCCAAGCACCTCTATACACTATTGATTTCATACAGGTGGAGGAAGCAAGTGGCTTTCCCAAGGGCATGCAAGCGAGGGGCAAAACTGATGTAATGGTGACACAGCAGTGCATGTTTTTAAAATCCTTGTGCCTTCTCTGTTCATTTGTACAGTGGAGATGGAAGGAGTCTGTTTTTCGTAGCTCCCCAGCCTTATCTTGCTGTGCCCTGTCTGGCTTTAATCAATTTCCTACCCTTCTGGCTGATTTCCTGTATTGGAGCTAGGATGGGGGTGGGGGGACGGCTTGGGTAAGACAGGGAAAGGACTGCCTTTGGCTCCCTCCTCCTCCAGAACCAGGAGTGGTTTGCTGGGTGGAACAGAACTGTGGCAATAGCCTCCCAGCAGCAGCATCACAGTTGCTGACCAGGACAGGTAGGAGTGAGGAAGCAGAGAGGTCTGGGCTGTGCAGGTGCTCGGACCACACGGCCCCAACATTACTTCCTCTGGGCAGCAGCATCAGTGCTGCTGCTGCTGGGAGGCCTTGCTGTGGCTCTGCCCCACTGAGTGAGCCATTCCTGGCTTGCTTTCAATTTAATATGAAGTGCAGCCTGCAGCAAAAGGGAGAGGGAGGTCTAACTGCACAATTGTAGAAACGTTGCTTTAAGTCTGCATTGCTGCATTTTATTTTGCATTATTATACGCTGCTTTCACAGCTGTGAAGTGCTTTATAAATTTGCAAAATAAACTGAAAACCCTGCCCTTCCCAGCCATGATCCCAGTGAAAATCACCCCGCCCCCACCAGCATAGCAATGAGACTTAGGCTAAGAAAACACTTCCAGATGGCACCCAGTGTTTATGGGGGCGTGATTTTAAACCATCTCAACACACACTAGTGCCCCCTGCTTAGTATTAAAAGGGAAAGGGGGACCACAGATGAAGCTGTACATTATACATTTAACAGGACGTATAATTAGGCCTGGAGTCTGCAGCTGAGCTGGGACTTAGTAAAGGATCCTTAGTTAAGGTCCAATACAATATTCCACATTAGTCCTCTGCTAGACCTGAAGGAGAGAGAGCTCTTTAAGGATGTCCAAAGAGTGATTGGCAGCTTCCCAGCTCTCTTGGCCTGTGAAAGGAGCTCGGAGCCCCAGCAGGGAGAGGGGATCTGTACTGCCACTCACCGGCAGGTCAGTTGCCCTGTCAAGGAAGACTGACAGCAGGGCGGATGACAGCTCCTCGCTCTTTGGTGTCTGGATCAAGCTATTCACCATCAATACCTGTGAAAAGTGGCACACATTAAGGACTATGCTTAGACACAGCATCCATCAAAACTATGACCGTCACATGATAGTTTGGTAATCTGCACTCATCATGTGAACAATTCATCACAAGATGGCCTTCTTGCATCAAAGAGAGGCAGTTGTCAGCGGGAAGATCCCCAGCAATGGTCACATGAATTGGCCTTGTTCTTGCAACTCTGACCCAGCCTTCCCCTCGTGCCTTCCAGATGTTATTGGACTCCAGCTGCCATTAGCCTCTGTCAGCATGGCCAAGGATGGTGGGAGTTGTAGCCCAAAAACATATGGAGGGCACCAGGTCAGGGAAAACAGCTCTGGCAGGCAGACCCTTTGAAAACCTACTGCCTGTGGCTGCCCCATGTTCCCTCTCCCAGCTCTAATATCCTTGGAGCTGGACATACAGTTTCCAAATGTCTGAGCTAACAGAAAAGAGTAGTTTCATTTATGCCTCTATGAGGGTACTGGGAGAAAACATGGTTTTGCTTAAGCACAACCACCTCCCTCAAGAAACTCAAAAAAACTGTTTTTTGAGGAAGGTGGTTGTGCTTAACATAGGGACTGAACAAGTTGCAGGACTCTTCGCTGCTAAGATGGACGGGGCTTCCTAGAGTGACCATGTGGTCATGCAACGTTACGTGGTCACTCCAGGAAGCCCTGTGAGGCAGGAATCTTGTGCTCAAATAACCCCGAACTGCTATGAGCAAGCGAGAGGCCTTCCTAAAGCCAAAAACAAGCTCTTAAAACATTTTTAAAAACCACGTTCCCTCGCAGGTTGGCAAGGATTTCTGAAGTGATCACGAGACATGGCATGCTCTCATGGTCACTCCAGAAGGCCCTGAAAGGAGCCTCATGTTCCCAAGGTAAGCGCACGCATCCTGCCCTGTCCCTCAGTTGTTATTATTTTGCAAGTCCTCCTACTTCTTGTGCAAGATGTGAAAAAGTATTTCTTTCACTGGGAGTGAAGCATTCTTTGAAAAACCAGCAGGGCTCAGGCCCAGCATTAGTTCCTCTGAGGTGAAGCTCAGAGTGGAGTAGCCTAACCTTAGTTTGAAAGCCTGTGGGGAGGACTTGTGCTCTGCTTTTAATGCTTGTATAGTTTTTAGTAGTGTTAAGCTGCCGTAGAGGCTAACAACCCCAACCTCCACCCCTATGAGGCAGTTCTCTCAATGACCCTCCCTCCTCTCTCCAATTACCTGCTCCAGCTCAGCAGCACTGGGCGTGGGGGGCAAGCACTCCAGCTTCACATGGAGCCGTCCTGACTTCACATCCTCTAGGGGGAGCCACTGAAACCAAGAGCAGGGGGTAAGACCAGCACAGCTGCTGCACATCTCCTGCCCGCCCTCTCCAGTGCCATTTGGTACCACTGACTTACCTCGTCAACAAACTTTTGGCTTAGCACTCGTCTCAGAGGGATCTTACACCTGAAAGGGGATGGAGGAGGAAGAGGTGAGTGAGAAGAACAAATGCCTTTCTTTCTGTCACAGGTCCTGCAAAACTGAATTAACACCATCATCCAAGTGACACGAAGCACAGGGCCTCGTCCTAGTTTGCAATCCATGCACAGGTTACTAGGAGTTACTAAACGTCGACAGAAGGTGTAAACTTGCAGGCTGGTAACATGGATCACTGCCTTGTCGTGGCGAAGGGGCTTGAATAACTCAGAGAAGCTATGAGCTATGCTGTGCAGGGCCACCCAAGACGGACAAGTCATAGTGGAGAGTTTTGACCAAAAGTGATCCACCTGGGTCAGGAACCAGCAAGCCACTCCAGTATCCCTGCCAAGAAAACTCCATGGACAAAAGAAGACAGAAGTGCCTGGTGTGCTCTGGTCAATGGGGTCACAAAGAGTCGGACACAACTAAACGACTAAACAACAACAACATAGGAAACTGCCTTAAATTGAGCGAGACAATTGCTCCATATACGGTTTAGCTGCAGCTCTCCAAGATTTCAAGTAGCCTGCTGTGATTCACAGGCCCAAAGGTGGGCCAGTGAGAGTGGTTTGATGCAGGGATGCGAAAGAAGGATGTAAAAAATGCCGGAGTGTTCAATTCTAGTGATTTCTTGGAAGCATAAACTTACAACCCAGTCTGCAAAGCTTCACATTCAGAGCCCTGGGTCCTCCAATTCTAGTATGGTGTGGAGGGCAGGCCCTTATTTCAGTCGAAACACTCTGGAACTTAGTTCCGGAACCTTCCCTGAGGCAGACCCTGGATGGACTGGGAGTTGGTGCTGCGTGCGTTTTCAGCGCTTTTTAAGGTTGTCGGTGCAGCACATGTTTTCAGCGGCTCCCTAAAAAAACCTCAACAACCTTGGCGCCCCCTAAAAATGAGCCCAGATCCACCGGGAGTGGGAGCTATGCAGATGTCTAGGCTCCTACCTTGAATGTTCAGCTTTCATTAAGAAAACGAAGTCTAGTTGTTAAGCTAATGAAGATACAAAGACAAATGTAGAGGCAGTATTCTACCCAATGTCCGTGTAAGAAGCAAAATCCACTCCCAATTAATGCCAATGCATAGAGATAATTGAAAAGTAGCTGTATTTCACCTATAAAGCTGTAAATTAATAAACCATGGGTGCATCCAGATGGGGTCTTAATATTGCAAAGGAATGGTTCACATTTTGAAAGCAAGTCATTGGCAACGTTTTTCTTAAATTTTCTGAGGAAAGTATAAATCAAGATTGGCACATTGATGCCAATGACATCATGTGGATGCTGCAAAAAAACCTCTGAATGCACGAAGAGCACCGATTGCACAACAAACGCCCATCTGGAAGCACCCTTAAATGCCTTGACTTTAGGTGTTTTCTGCTTCACTCTGATTTACTAAGGCTCACCAGTATAAATTCTGTGGCCGTGGGATTGAAGACGTCTATAGGAAGGGAGGGGAGTGCTTTCCTCCCTCCTCCCATGTCATGGGGAGTACTTTGGGGTACTTGGGCAACTCAAAGGAATAGAGGTGAGCGTGTTTCTGGCTTGTACAATTTTTCATTTTGCTCCAGACTTACCTTCCCAGGAAGTCATCCTTGTCAACATCTTTGTCATATAAATCAAACTCCACGTCCTGCCCTGGGACGTTACTCACAATGACCTGGAGGATATAGCAAAGTGGTCACCATACAGAGCCACACAAACCAGAAGCAGCACACATTCAGGGATCAACATTAGTAGATTAAGAGTGAAAGCCAAGGTTTGTTCTGATCTTGGCTCTGGAAAGCAAACACACTCATTAGGCCAGCAATGGAAGGCGGTGTGTGTGGGGGGGGGACCTGGTTTCCTGGATTCTGTCCCCCACCTCTTCAAAAGGGCCTAGGTAGGGTTTCATGTTTGGCCAAATAATTGGTTAGATTAGCCAATCAAACATTGGACAGCACTATGATGTGAATTAAATAAAAAGACCAGACAGCAGATTTTTTACGAATATTTTTAAAACATAGCTTTTATGTCCTTAAAGATGGGCCAAGTTTGTGAAACTAGGTTCATACCTGAAGAGACTGGGTGTTAACCGAGAGTGAGAGTGAGCAATGCTTTATTGATCTGTTGCCTATTTTATCTTGCTGATTTTTTTGGAGACAATTCTCTGCTGACATCTACCTCAGACTTCTTGGCAATGGGTGTCTGTGCATGATTCAGTAAATGAATGTGTTGTATTGTGTGTGTGTGTATAAATAACATTTTAAGATTCCTGGTGACAGATCTATATCCTCTAGGGAACAAAAGATGAAGGGCATATATTTGAGACTATTGGTTTCTATCTTTGGCTCCAGCAGGAAGTGGGATTTGGCAGGAATTCATACAGAAGCTCAATGCAAAAATATTTCACTTCAGGCTACCAGTGGCACATTGCAGACAGAAGCTGCGTGCATATGAAAGTTTGAAAATCGCTGAAGACATATCCAAGCTGATCTTTCAGATGATTTTATTATTTTGGAAGAGGGAGTTGAGAGACAAGACACGTTCCTGTACAATGTACCCTTTAGATGGTATGACATTTCTGAGCATTTTTGGTCTTAGTGGCATTTATACAGCACTGAGAATCCTCTATGGTAAGCTGAGATTGAAACACTGCATTTAGGTTTTATGGCCTTCCATTCTGGGGCCGTTTGTGCGTCCCAAATACTCCACCCAGCTGTGAGTGAGCACTGCCTGTTGATGTGGAAACTTCTATATGTAAAGAACTTCCAAGTATGTAATTACTAGGCAGAAGTAAAAAATGCTGAAACTGACTGACAGACGCTCTAGACAGGGGTTGGGAGTCTAGATGCTGGTAGACTCCACCTTCCATCATCCCTGACCATACTGGCTGGGGCTGATGGGAGTTGGAATCCAACAACCTCTAGACAGCCATAGGTTCGCTATCCTTGCTCTGTACAGAACCAAAGTAAAAACCTGAACAGGCTTCATTTGGGTTTTCTACAATTTGCATTATACTGTAGTTATTCTCAGGTGTGTGTCCAAATCAGAAATATGCAATGCTCTGTTGGGTGCTTTCCTTTCATCCATCTGATTGCAAGGAAGACATGTATCACTTCTGTTTCAATTAAAATAATCTGACTCTGTTGCAGAACAATTCCCCATTAAACCCACCCTCCACCACCACCAGCCAAGGGCCGGAAGGTCCAGCAGATCCAAGCTTGACATGTGTGCGTGCATTCTCACCTCATAGATCTCGCTCCAACGGGGGTTGAGATCCTCTTTGATGACGCGGCTTCGGAACTTCTGGCCCCCCAAGCGCACTTTGACATAAGGGTCTGATTTGCCCTTTATCATCCCACCCATGAAGTTATCCTTGGCAATCAGATTCTCAGCTTCCAGCAGGTGAATGCGGATCACACTCTGAGGGAAGATGAGAGAAAAAGAAGAATAATTTGCCTGAGGGAACTGCAGTCATCATCCTACAAAGCAACGGGTCTCTTATCTCGCTTTTCTGGGGTCCCCAAACCATCCTAGGTTTTTACGAGAGCAACACAATAATTTTCATCACAGTAACTGAAGGAGGCAGAAATCAACTAAGATTAGAAGTTGGAGCACCTAGCTTCTGTAATACCATTATTTTTGCTGTAATCAATTAAAATTTCATCAAAACTCAAAAAAGCCAAGCTAAATATGAAGGGGGAAATCCATATTTATGCCATTGATGTTAAAATCTTTCATATCTTTAAAATATATAAAGAACATAAAGCTGGTGATTCAGAAGGGTCCTTCAACTCTGTACTGTTATTTTTACTGAAAGAAGCTGAACTGTTAACTGATGAGACTGTCTATAGCATTATTATTCAGCATTATTGTTTGTGACTGGTATCTTTGTTTTAGATATTTCTGTCTGCTCCTGCCGATTTTATGAACTTTTCTGTAGTTTGTTATTCTTCTGTGGTTTTATATATAACCCATCCTGGGATCGTAAAATCAATGAAGGGCAGGATGGACATATATAAACACATACATTATATCATTTCCTGCTGCTGCTCAGGAAACATCAACTCTCTCAAGGAGACAACCTTACCTCAGTGCCAAACTCAGCATCTGGGCTGGCCTTGGTGGGGCGAGGAGGCCTGTCAACGCTGCTTCCAACATAGGTTCCCTCAGTGACATTCAGATTTCCTGGGGGGCATGGCCGGGTGTTGAGGCAAACTTCAGGGGCATCCAGATACAAGATCTACAGAAATATTGGCAGACAGGGAAGCATGAGGTTAGGAAGCAAAGTCAAAATAGTTAGGAAGCATCGGCCTGTTGAAGGAAGAGGACAAAACGTAACTGCAGGGCCAGATAACAAACACTGGCAAGTTTGACTGACTCTGGATAATCAGTGAAGAAGGGGAAAGGATAGCTCAGGGCAAGGGACCCTCTCTCAAACAGCTGGTTTTCAAAAAAGAAAATGCAGCTGGAGATTCACTCATAGATCCCCAAAGTTTTGCCTTTAGACTCCACTTGTGTTTAATGCTCAATGCTTAGTAGCCCCATGCTATATTCTGGGTCCTTTCTTCACTCCTTTGTGGCCCTGTATCACATGTCCGTAAGGCAGGGGTGGTGGACTTCTAGATATTCTAGATCATCCTTGCCCTGGCTGATGGGAGTTGAACTACATCTGGAGGGCCACAGATTCCCCATTCATGGTTCCATCTTGGGGAGAAGGGAAGGAGACCAAAAAAATCCAACTAAGAGTAACAGCCACTCAGAAAGCCACCTGGCCTCTACCTGCAATCAAAATAGGCAGCTCATACATTCTGTAGAGTATATCTTTCCCTTCCTCACGCTTGAAAAAGAAGCTCAAAATGCTGTTTGTTTTGTTGCATTTTTAAATAAAGAGCATTGAGCAGAAATTGTTGAGCTGGCATGGAAGGGTGAATAGGTGAATCATCATCATCATCAGAGACACATTAAGTCTTTAAGTCCGCAATCGTCAAGTGTTTTACCCGCATAACGAGTTTCATGTAGATGCGGCTGTTCAGTCCAGAGTTCTCCAGCTGGAACCACTGGTCAAGAACCAGATTGTCGGCACTCAAAAGGCGGGACAGATGGATCGTGAGGGAGCCCAGGGTGGTCTGGCGGTTGTCGTCTTTGACCTGCCAGAGGGTGAAAACAGAAGTTTTGCATTTCTGTGCAGGCAGAACTATGGGAAGCATTTGGAAAAGGTGGGAGAGCCAACCTGTATATCAATGTCCTCAGTGGTTGGGTCTTGCAAGAAGAAACGGAAGGCATCATCCCAGACAGGAGAAGACGTGTTATAGACAACCTGGTGGTGTGAGAATGACAGTGAAGAGGTAAGAAACAGAAATAGCACCCATTTCTCTGGAACATCAATCATTCAAGCAGCAGACTTCCTGAAGCTGCTACACTCAAAAGAAGAGGAAGGAGCAGCCATGAGCCATGTCCTGACCCAACTCCACCAGAGAAGCCCTTCAGTAAGCAGCTGTCAATTAAAGTGCTGGACTGGGTAATGGGGGATCAGGGCTCCTATCCCCTCTGAGGCATGAAGCTTCCTGGGTAACACTTTCTTTCAGTCTAAACCCTGCTCACAGGGTTGTTGTGGGGATAAAATGCAGAGGGGGCATTGGAGAAAAGGTGGGAAATAAACACAATAAAGAAATAAGTATCTTAGGTAAGGGTAAAGGGACCCCTGACCATTAGGTCCAGTCGTGGCCGACTCTGGGGTTGCAGCGCTCATCTCGCTTTATTGGCCGAGGGAGCCGGCATACAGCTTCCGGGTCATGTGGCCAGCATGACTAAGCCGCTTCTGGCAAACCAGAGCAGCACACGGAAACGCCGTTTACCTTCCCGCCGGAGCGGTACCTATTTATCTACTTGCACTTTGATGTGCTTTTGAACTGCTAGGTTGGCAGGAGCTGGAACCAAGCAATGGGAGCTCACCTCGTCACGAGGATTCGAACCGCCGACCTTCTGATCAGCAAGTCCTAGGCTCTGTGGTTTAACCCACAGCACCACCCGCATCCCAATAAGTGTCTTACTTGTTATTAAACGATAATTAGTAAGTGGACGTCACAGTCAGAACCCCCCTGCACCATCCATCCTGGCCTGTGATACAGTGCACCATGCAACAAGACCTGGATTATTATGGGATGTTACCAAACTGAGGGAAGGGGAGCTAAAACCTGCCAGGCACCTTAAGCTTGCCACCTCCGTTGTGACTGTTGCATGCACCCCATCAGCAGCAGCCCAAGTGGTTACCCCTGGAGGTGTCCAATGAGCAATAACTAACAGACAAGAATGAATTAAGCCCTTACCTTGCTCTCACGGGTGACATCTTGAACGGAGAGCTGTACCATGGGGTTGGGCTCCTTACTGGCCTTCTTCAGCTACGTACACGATGAGGTGAGAGAAATGATGGACACAGAACTTATCCATGAACTGTACCGCCCTTAACAGGTTTGTTGTTGTTTAGTCGTTTAGTCGTGTCCGACTCTTCGTGACCCCATGGACCAGAGCACGCCAGGCACTCAGGTTTATCCCAACATATCTAAGAGGCCCCACTCTTTCCTTCTTGGCCTAAGATGAGGTTCAATGAAGCATCCAGGTCCTTGGTTAAATTCTGCCAGGTGGCGACAGGGAACCCATTGCCCGCTCCCCATGTTGCTGGACTACAAGCTCCATCATGGTGCCATGCTGGCTGGCGCTCATAGGAACTGGTGTCCAACACCTCAAGGGTTGCAGAGCCACCAGCTCCAGCTTCACCCTCTTGCGTGAACTGACATACAAGCAAAGGGCTCTTTCACCTTCACAGCACCAGCAAAACAAGTTAGTTTGGCAAAGCCCTTCCCTTCCTTCATTCATTCATTCTGAGACAGAAAGGGCTCCTTATTGCCTCTCCCACATGAACAGAAACACAGGCTCTGTCACGAGTTCTTCCCTTACGAAGCTTGGCTGCTGATTTCTGAGCTCCAGTAAATGGAAGTGAACAGCACTGCTGTGTAACAAGGGGTTGGCTCTGCCAAAGCCTCTACTGCTACTTACCCTGGGGAGGAGGGTTATTTTAAAGAGCCAGTTGCCCATGTTTCAGCTTGCATGGAAGTGCCAGTTTGCACCTTCTAGGCCACCAGGTGTGAACCCACCTGTTGTTATTCTGGTGCTGCCTAATAAGAAGCCCCTAAAAACTGCCATCTTCTTTTTGAAGCTGGACAGCAAGAGCACACAGAAGCACATTTTTGGTGGCTCCCTTACAATTATGCCATGCTATTTGCCAAATCCCAAATACTGTATCTAAAAGCAGGTTAAATAGGGCTGCCAAGGAACTGGAGACTTGGGACTCCTTCTCTTAAGTGTAAGGTGGCTTACAATTTAATAAACAACAAGCTCCCACTTTTGCTGAGGGGAAAGGGCCATCTTTAATATTTTCTTCTTCATCAAATTTGGGAGTATGTGGAGTCTTTTCTTTAGCTGTGCACCAAGTTGGGAGGTGGGAAAAACCTATTAATACAGGAAAGGGCTAGCATTTTCAACATCTATTATTTGGAACAGGGAATGGGAATCTGTGGCCCTTCAGATGTTGCTGGACTACAACTCCCATCATTCCTGGCTATGGGAGCTGGAGTCCAACAATGAAGCACCAATGGTTCCTCATTCCTGATCAAGAAGAATATTGCAATACTTTTTTTTTAAAAAAACCCCCACTTATATCTGTTTTGGGATATGACAAAGACAGACATTTAAATACACAACCAATCCACCCCAACCAGCCCCAACTAGAAGAGATCAGGAAGCCAGTATCATCAAGGTTTCTGACTACTCACTGGGAGCTCTTGTGCCCTGTCAAGATAGACAACCAAGATGGCTGCGGATGGTGGTTCTGGTCTGGAGGAGATAGTTTTGTTCCACTGGAGAACCTTTAAAGGGCACACAAGAAGCAAAACAAGCATAAAGTCAGCTCCACCATTTCTTCCCAAGATATCTTTCACCTTGAAGGACATCTCTCCCCCCGCCATCCCAAAAAACAAACAATCTGGAGAGACGCAAACAATGGGAGACACAGATTTCTCCAAAGGATATCTTTTTATTTCCATCTCTCTTTTACTGATTTGTTCATCTGAGCCCAGACCACACAAGAGGTCCAAGTATTGATTCTGCCCCTAGGTCTTCCAAGCCAGTTTCCCACAGAATCCGACTTGCCTCATGGAAACAGAACCAGGAGTCCTGATTTCCCTGCTGTAGTTACTATATGACTTGGGAGTCTGAATTTGGAATCCTCCATCCAGGGTCATTGTCCACTCCTTGCTCATTTCTGAGGAAAGTCTTCTTCAAGGAAATACCTCATAGAAAAAATGGGGGGGGGGCTCTAGACTTGCTCAACCAACCCAAAGCATCCCCCCATTTTCAAAGGGTTCAGGATTAAAGGGGGTAGGGAGAACTTTTCCTGAGACCTTGGAAAGCTGCTGCCAATCAGAATAGACAATACTGGGTATCTTCCTGCTTTTTTCAGAAAAGCATCAACTCAGGCCCAGCCAACTCCAGACACATCTCCTGAGCTGAATTGGCCTCCAGGTCAAATTAGATCAAGGTTACACTCACCTGTTCCAGCTTAGAGATATCTGACATGAGGGTGTGCCACTCCAGGCGCAGGAGCACACGAGCCCGGCCACCATCTTGCAGAGGGAACCACTGCCAGGTGGGAGAAAGAGGGAGAGGATTAGGAGCACAGGGACAGACTTTGAGTCTGAGGTACCATCACACTTACAGCCAATGGACTCTTCCCTCTAACTATATTGCCCAGCTCTACATGATATGGCCCACTCTGCCCCCCTCCCTCTGTCCCACCGCTCTTCTCATGAGAGACTTCAACACCACCTCTTTACCAATCTATGATGAAACACCATTCTTCCCCACAGATCAGATATCAAACTCAAAGGCTATCCTGTTGTCTGGCACCATGTATGAAACCAGCACTGTCCCCTCTTCTGCGCTCACCTCCTCTAGCACACGAGCCTTGAACACTTCTCCAAAGTCCAGTTTCATCCTGAGGAAGAAAGGAAGGTGGTAACATTTGCATAAGTACTGTCTCCTCACTTTCAAGCCCAAGGTGCAGCAGATCAAGTGACCCTCATCCATAGAGATCCCATCTCCCGTCATGAAGAAGAGAAGAAGAGTTTGGATTTGATATCTCACTTCATCACTACCCGAAGGAGTCTCAAAGCGGCTAACATTCTCCTTTCCCTTCCTCCCCCACAACAAACACTCTGTGAGGTGAGTGGGGCTGAGAGACTTCAGAGAAGTGTGACTGGCCCAAGGTCACCCAGCAGCTGCATGTGGAGGAGCGGAGACGCGAACCCGGTTCACCAGATTACGAGTCCACCCCTCTTAACCACTATACCATGCTGGGTTAACACAGCAGAGTGCCAACTCTCAAGCACTCAGGCAAATACATCCAAAAATGCATGTGGGGCTGAGAGACTTCAGAGAAGTGTGACTGGCCCAAGGTCACCCAGCAGCTGCATGTGGAGGAGCAGAGACGCGAACCCGGTTCACCAGATTACAAGTCTACCGCTCTTAACCACTACACCACACTGGCTCTCCAATTTCCAGAGCTGGAGATGAAACCAATGTCTCTGGGGCCTGAACTGGCTCTGTCTAACTCTTTAGCCCCCAAGTCCTCTCAGCATCAGAAAAAAGAGCAGAGGAGCTCCAGTTCCTCCCTCCCCTCAGCTACTCACCCAGCTAGGTCTCACTCCCCTGACAGAGCTGGGACCAGAGCCCAGCCAGCCTCTCACCTGCCCAAGAAGTCATCCTGATCCGGGTCCTTGTCAAACAGCTCCACCTCCAGTTCCTGCCCCGGTACCTCGTGTACAATGAACTGTGGGGATAGTGAGGTGGGGGGTCAGAGCAGACACCACCTATTGTGCAGGCCGGAGGGGCCCTCTTCAGACAGAGAAAGGAAAGGAATGACAGTTGTGTTGCGTCAAGAAGAAAAGCTAAGCCAGGGAGGGAGGATAGAAAGAAAGGGGGCTGAGCGTCCCCCTGAAAGTTTGCACTCAATTTTGCCACCTCAGCTGGCAGCCAATTACCTCATACATCTCATTCCACTTTGGGTTGAGGTCTTCATCAATGACTTTGCTGGTGAAGACCTGGGTTCCCACACGCACAACGGCGTATGGGTCTGACTTGCCCTCAATCATCCCTTTGATGTACTTATCCTTGGACTGCAGGTCCTTGGCCTCCCTCAGAAAGACACGGACGACACCCTGCAGGGGAGAGGCATGCGTCAGGCGCAGGGCTCTGGCCCACTCACAAGGATAACCCCCTCCCCCAGGGCCTGCCTTACCCTGGGAATCGGGGAGCGTAGCTGAGCTGCTTCGTGGAGATCGGGGACCAGTGGAATGAGCAGGCGGTTGGGGAGAACCAAGAAAGAGGCAATGGAGTCCATGATCATTGTGTCAGACAATGAGCTGCAGAGAAAAGCCTTCTGTTTTAATGCAGTATACACCACCCTGCCTCTTGCCCATCGCCACTGTGGAGACATCCCAGCAAATCCTTCTGCCACCATGCAGCCCCTCCAATCTCCCGGAATACCTTTCTGTCCCACTGCACCCCAGAAAGTTCTTCTCCAGCAAGACCCAGTTCTCCCACCAACCAATTTCTTCTCAAATGTTCTCACCTGTTTTCCATTGCACTCCTCACCAGTCCTATTGACTTCAGTGGAGCCAACCCCACTGGGGTTAGGATTGAAGTCTCCCCCCCTTTACCCTTCTTGCACACTCAGCTGCTCTGGTTATCTCCAAGAGAAGAAGCACTTGAGAACATAGAAGCCTCACTCTTTTACCAGAGCAATAAATTTTGATGGAGGAAGCAAACAAGACAACACCCTCTCCGACCTCCTACAAGAGCTGCAAGTCCAGAGGCCAGAAGTTCCCCATCTCTGGTTTTATCGTCAATCATCAAGCATTTACCTCAGTCCAGGAATGTCCAAGAGGTTGGTCATTCCAGTCCAGTTAATGTCCAGAGTCTGGGAAAGAAGGGAGAGGTGTGATTTAGAACCAGTTACAGAAATACTGGATGTGGGGGTGGATTTGGGTGGGGGCTTGGGAAGAAGCAATCGGGACTGAAGATATCCAGGTTCAAATCTCCATTCAGCCTTGAAGCCCACTGCGTGACCTCAGGCCCCTCGCCATCTCCTTCAGCCTAACCTACCGCACAAGAGCCTTGCAAAGCCACCCAGAGCTCCTTGGACAAATAAATAAATTCAATTAATAACTCCTGTGGGGTTTGCCAAAATTACTTGGGAGATCTCACAGCTGCAAAAATGCATGAATCCTCCTGTACTTCATTTTAATAAGAGAATTTGCCAGTTGCAAACCAAGACTTCTACTCATGTGCATCACATCTGCACTGGAATGACCGTCCCCTTGAATGTAGGAACTGATTCCCCTGCATGTTTTTAGGGAGACAGCATGAAAATTCTGCCTATGGTGCTGTTACCTGCGGCTGTAAAAGCTTTCATTAAAGTGGAGGTGGGCAAGTTTCTAGCTTTTGTGGTCTCAAGAGATACACTTGAAAAGTACTGATAATAACCAAAGAGCGGTTGCCCAACATTTCCATAGTGAGGGATTTGGCTTCAACCTTATGCACAGGTCAGTGCCCCTTCCCAACATCTGCAAAACCAAAACGGGACGTGGCAGAAAACTTACCGGACGGCGGATGAAGAACATGGTGAGCGCCCCGACAATTGGGACGTCCCCAATGAGGGGCTCCAAGATGACTCGCAGCATGCCGTGCAGCTGAGAGAAAAAGAGAAGGTTGAGGTCGGATTCTCAGTCAATGCTGCTTTAGTCGTTTATCATATTCCTGTGCTCTGGGACAAGCAGAGGACACAAAGGCAACAGCATCTGGTACAAATGATGCACCTACCATGCCAGCCACTAATGCAGGGGCAGCCTCACACAAATCACAGCCCCACGGCAAGATTGACGCTTAAATTCAGGGATTGTGGGAGGCTGAGGAAAGGGAGGGAGGGCTGCCTCCACATGCAGCTTCTTGAAGGGAAGGGAAGGGGCGCCCAAAGATTTCTGCTTTTAATTACCAGGAGTAACTAGGGAGGCCTTCATCACTGCCTTCCTGCAGCTGCAGTGCTTTCTAAATAGTAGCTCAAAGGAATTAAGGAACTGGGTGGAAATGATACCCTTTCAAGGAAGGCCATGGATAAGAAGGAAGGCCTGCGGTTGCTGGGAGCTTGGACTGATCCTGTGCCATGGCAAAGGAGAAGTTCCTTGGGTTAAAAAAGAAGCCTAAAAAGATAGAGGTCCCAAATCCATTACTGGGAACCGTATTAGCCTCTGAGATTTCTGACCTACCTTTATGAAGTCAAAACCAGGACCACCTTACCTGCATGCCTTTCATCCCGGCCTTACAGAAAAATTTCTTGACCTCCACATCAATCTGGACGTCACCCACATAGCTGTGTTACAGGGAGGGGGAGAGAGCAAGAGACCAGCATGAGGCTCCCAGAAACCAAATGAAGCCATAAGACACTGCAAGAATGAAACACCAAGGCCCTAAAAGGGAACAGTTCCCCCCTTAATCTCGACCCACCCTGTTGGACCATTTTTTCAGGGGTTGCTGATTTTGTATGCTCTCCTGTCCTACCCTGCCCCTCTCTGTTGGCCAGGAAGTGTGTGGGGAAGAGGTACTGCAGATATCCAGCATGGTCCGTGAATGCAGCATGAATGAGTCTCTGGCTCTGCATAGGAAGAAACATTATCTTCAGCCAAAGCAGAGCCTCACAGCAGAGAAACGGATTCTCCCTTGTCTCTCCCTTGCAAGTGACTTGTCTCTTTAAAGGAAAGTCAGCTGTGACAGGGCCAGTGGGATTGCAAAAAAGGAAAGGGACATAAGAACACAAGGAGGCCCCCGCTAGATCAGCTCACATGACCTGTGCCAACGTTGGCCAACCTGGCGCCTCTGGGAAGCCCACAAGCAGGGGATGAGAACAATAGCGCTCACACCTTCCCTCTGCAATGCAGCTCAACTCCACAGTGCAGGACACAACTTGCCCTCAGATCATGCGCTCTTCCAGGAAAGAGTGTAGAAAAATGCTCAGGTACCAAATTGCAGCTTGTCAGAGTGACAAGTGCTTTGTGGGCCATTCAGTAAAGAACAATCCACTCCCCCCCGCCCCATCCCGCCTTGATTCTGCTCCATTTATGAAGCTAACACAGGAACGTAAGAAAACCTTAGAACTTACCTAATGTTTAGGTCCAGCAAGATTTGCTTCTTGTTCAGGCCAGTGTGAACCTTAACTCCAATGACCTTGAGGGGCTAGGAGCAGAAGGGTCATTGTTTAAGCAAATAAAAATAAAAATAGACTAAAACAAGGGAGGCAATGCCCCACCTCTCACTCCCCAGCAATCTCTGTTAAGGCAAACTGATGGTCCATGGATGTCAAAGCTTTGCCAACAATATACCTGCCTCTGGGATAACCCTCTGATCCCTCTTCCAAGGCACTGCTGCCGCTCAGTGGGTCGACTGAGACCCACCAAGAGGTAAAATGGTTTTAGAAGGACTGAAATGAGGCTCCTGCACGTTTCTGGCCCAGCCAATAATGAGAGGGCAGCTCTGCTTCAGGCTCAGGTGTGGGCAACCCAGGCTTTGGCTTGGGCTCGGTGGTGGGATTATTGGGCTCAGCAACTTTGTGTCTGGATTTTTACCTCTTGAAATATGGCAACCCTCAGGTTAGAGGACCAGGAGCTAGGGAATCTTAGCCAAGAGGGAGAAACAGGGAATTAGGTTAGATCCCTGTAACTTGAACAATTGACAGTACTGCCCAGCCACCCCAGGGAACCTGAGCTTTCAACAACATTCAGTCAAAGTCATTTAGAAATAAAAAAAGCTTTAGTGTATTAGCTAAAATGTTGTTGCTACTTAAAAACCTTGGATACAGGCCCACGGCGCAAATTTGGATAACACTAGTTAGATTATATGAATACGTGTTTCTGGGCAAATGAAACTGGGTGGTTGGGGTCTCCACCAGCATGGAGCTTTACAGTGCTTCCAGCAAAAGGGTAGTAAGTAAGTAAGTAAATGGAAAAGGGGCAGAAGATCTAGGGCCCAGCACAAAGGACCTTGGATTTGAGTAAGGAGGCCCTACCCACCCTAAGAACACCCCTGCAAAAAGGCAGCGTCCTCCAACAAACACACAACAATCACAGAACTGCAAAACATATGTAGCTCTAACTCAAATGTGGAAGCTGGAAGAACATAAATAAGATAGTGATTTTAAGACTAGGATGGAAAGGCAAGATATGAGATTGTGGTCCTTGGTCCATTAATAAGGAATCACCACCACCCCAGGAGCAAGTATAATGATTACGCAGCAGAATGATTGGATTCACAAAATCTTATTATTGGATTTTCCACAGCAATACAAAATGCAAGACCATAAAATGTTCCAGCAGGATTATAACGTAAGCTTTCAAATAAACTAAGAAAAAATGTACAGACTACTGCTAGCATCCCAATAGGTGAAAAAATCCATGGCACTAACAATGCATTAAAAAAATAAATCATTCAGTGCTTTCAATAAATACTAGCCCAAAGTGTGTCTGGGGTGAGGGAGGAAACCCTCTGCACATATGGGATGAAATCTAATTATTTCTTTCCCCTTATTTATGGACTTGTCCCCTGGAGCATGCTCTCCCAATTATATTTCAGCTGACAATTACCTTCTCTCCCATGTCAACCTTGGTGAATGTAAAGGTCTGCAAATGGGTGTTGGAGGCTCGGATGCTTGGAGCAATGTTTTCCACCAACAGCTTCTCCATGTACTGGCCAAAGAAGGGCCAAGCCTGGGCCAGGATCTACCATGCCGTGGGGTAAGCAGGGAGGGGGAGAGAGAGAGAGAGATGTTAGCACTGTCATGATGCTGCCATGGCTGGGCAGGAACAATTCAGCCGACTGATTCTCACCTTGTTGAGCCATTCAGCTTTTTCAACATCTGGGAAACTGACCTAGATAAAAGAAAAAATATATATAGATTAGCTCCAGTTGGAAGGGACCCACCTGCTGTGGGTTCCTAGACGGACTAGGAAATACCTCCCTCATTCCCACAAAGAGAGAGAGATTGTGCATCACTCTTAGGCAAGATTACTTCACAAGAGGAATTGGTGAGACTTTACTACAGAAGATCAGTGTGGTGTGGGGCAGGGGGAAGGGAACCTCAGGTCTTGGGGCCCAATGTGGCCTCCAGGTTTATCTGGTCCTTGGGACCCTCCTCCCAGGACACAGCCCTCCACGGCCCACACCCTGCCTTAGTGCCTCTGCCTGGCAGGAATGTGCCCTTGAACTGCAAATGGCTCTTGTTGTCTGGATAGAGGGATGTGTGTGTCTATGGAGGAAGCGAGGGATGGGTGGACTGAGGAGGCTGGGCTTCAGATCCCGGTTTAGCCATGAAGATCACGAGGTGCCCTGGCCGTGCCACCATCTCTCTTGCTGATCTCTAACACAGGGTAAAATGGGATGGCATCATTTGTGCTTCTTGAAGGGCACACTACAACTGTGAACCGTGAAAGAGAGGACAATTTGGGTATCTGGTGCAGGAAGGAGCACCGTAAAATTCCCAGCATTTTTTTAAAGCAAGTTGCAGTATTTAGCAATACGAGTTCTCAACAGTTGGCTACAGTACAGTGGTACCTCGGGTTACATACGTTTCAGGTTACAGACTCCACTAACCCAGAAATAGTACCTTGGGTTAAGAACTTTGCTTCAAGATGAGAACAGAAATCACGAGGCGGCAGCGGGAGGCCCCATTAGCTAAAGTGGTGCTTCAGGTTAAGAACAGTTTCAGGTTAAGAACGGACCTCCAGAACGAATTAAGTACTTAACCAGAGGTACCACTGTATTTCAAAGTGTATGCCATAACATTCCGCTAGCAATGACAAATTGAGACACCTACGATTCCACTTCTTGACCACCAGCTAAGAGAGGTCTCAACTCACTCTTTAAAACTTTTAAGATTATTGCTAAAACAGCAAAGGTAAAGGTAAAGGTACCCCTGCCGGTACGGGCCAGTCTTGACAGACTCTGGGGTTGTGCGCTCATCTCACTCTAGAGGCCGGGAGCCAGCGCTGTCCGAAGACACTTCCGGGTCACGTGGCCAGCGTGACGAAGCTGCTCTGGAGAGCCAGCGCAGCACATGGAAACGCCGTTTACCTTCCCGCTAGTAAGCGGTCCCTATTTATCTACTTGCACCCGGGGGTGCTTTCGAACTGCTAGGTTGGCAGGCGCTGGGACCGAGCAACGGGAGCGCACCCCGCCGCAGGGATTCGAACCGCCGACCATGCGATCGGCAAGTCCTAGTCGCTGAGGTTTTACCCACAGCGCCACCCGCATCCCTAAAACAGCAAACCTGAACTTAATTTAACATATTCACGCATAGAGCTGTGTTGCTGCTGACTTTGAAACCTCCAACACACCAGATCCCCTTTAGCACACACAATTGGCTGACGTTACTCGGTTTAGAAGCCTTTCCACACAACAGACTCATGAACAAACAGGAAGGTTATCAGGAAAATATGTCACTGAATATAGGCAGAGCTCCAGATGGGGGATGATGAGCCTGGAGTTCAGACCCTTGGACCATATTATGGGACAGTTCTGCTCTTAGTCATTGTCCATCATGTCAGCTGTTCGGTGGAGCAATTTTGGGGGAGGCAGAACTCCAAGAGGACCACAAGGCTGGAGTTCAGACCCTGGGATGATAGGATGAGCCATTGCCACACTTAGTCATCGTCCATCCCCATGTCAGCTGCTTGGTGAAGCAATTCTATCTTTGACCATGCATTTTCTTAATCCGCTTGCTCAGAATTGAGTGGGGTGGAATTGAAGAGGAGCGGCTGCAAGAGATTCTTTGAAATCCTGCAGGGCGGGTGGGTGATGGGGGACATAAGGAAAGCAGCTGATCTTCAGGCCACGGTTATCAAGCACACGCCCGTCCTCTTCCTCAGGAATCATGCTACTGGCAGCTTGAGCACAGCCTGCAGTTTCTTAGAGGGTGTGAGCCCTCTGCTATGCGCAAGTATATATGCGCAAGTGAGAGAGAGAAAGGAGAGGCCTGGCACATTACAGACAGAGGCAGAGGAAGGTCAGGTGGTACCCGGTGTGGAAAATTTCTTGCCACCCCCCCCACATTGATATATATTTTTTGCCTGCAAAAAATGGTTTTACGTTATTTCCTATTTTCTTACAAAGGAATAATAAAATAATAATAATAATAATAAACTGTTATTTATATTATCCTGCCCTCCCCGGCCAAAGTCAGGCTCAGGGCAGCTAACATCAGATACAAAACATTGGTATAAAATCAAACAATAATTAAATTACCCCCTAAAAACATGTCAAAATCAAATTAAAGTCTAATTAGATGGCTTTCCACAGGGTTAGGGTTGGGAACAGTAAGTGCTCCACTGAATTAAAATTTCAGCCTTCATGACATAGGAAAACGGCCAAGTAAACAGCTATTTTCATGGAGGAGGGTCACGATATTAACAGATATGCATGAAAGTTCATATATAGCTATATAATCCCTCATGTAGTAAGATTTGGAGGAGGCATTTTCAAAAAAAAAGTTTTTTTATGAACTGCCCTAGTAGGGCACTTAATTGTTGCTTGATAATTTGTCACCCATCTCCAACGATGGAACCTCGGACGCCCCCCCTTCCTACGCCCCTGATTACAGATGCCCTATTCAGAGCTGAGTTGTTAGTAGGAAATAGGTGAGGAGCCTGTGACTAGATTGTCACATGAAACTAAGCAGACATGTATGAACCGAATCGGAGGAAATTGCCACTCACTAAGGTCATCAGTGGAAGCCCTCTTATGTGCTCCATCAATCTGTGTGGGGCTGGGATCAGGGAGAAAGACGGAGCTTCTGAACTCCCTCCCCAGAGGGACTCACCTTGCCTCTTTTCTTTCTGCCAGGTGGAAACGACCTTTCCTTTCGAATGATAATGATGTATGCCTAGGGTTCCTGGACATACCCGGAATACTGCAGTTGGTAGCAGTGTCCAGGCAAAAATTGGCGAGATGTCCTGAAAAATCCGGATTTTCACAAATATGGTAACCCTATATATAGAGGGACACAGGTGGCACTGTGGGTTAAACCACTGAGCCTTGGGCTTGCGATTGGAAGATCCATGGTTCGAATCCCCGCGACGGGGTGAGCTCCCGTTGCTCAGTCCCAGTTCCTGCCAACCTAGCAGTTTGAAAGCACATCAAAGTGCAAGTAGATAAATAGGTACCACTCTGGCGGGAAGGTAAACAGCGTTTTTGTGTGCTGCTCTGGTTTTGCCAGAAGCAGCTTAGTCATGCTGGCCACATGATCCAGAAAACGCCAACAACCCCAGAGTTGTTCAGACTTAACTGTCAGGGGTCCTTTACCGTTACCTTTTTAACCCTATATATGCCAGCCCTGCTTTAACCTTCTCTGATTGTGGCTTGTTAATGCTTGTTAATGCTAATGTCTTCCTGCTGTTGCTTTAGTTAATCAGGATCGTAATGGTCTTTCCCAGCTTCTCTTTTATGATGCCTCAGTCATTGTGAATGATATCTTATTCTACTGCTCTTGTTCTGCTTTTTTGAAAAAATTATCTGGTTGTTTTCTACAAAACTGAATTTAAACATACTAATGTGAACAAGAAAACAAATGGAAAATTAATTTATTCCCCCAATTTTATCTTCTCCATTCCCAAAAGGTGAACTTCAAAGACACGACAACTCCTCATTCTCAATGGCTCACACCGAACAGAGTGATCTGACACTTTCATATACCAAGTACATGCTATTTTGGGACGCAGTATCACAGGAAAAGCACATCATTTCCAACAAACTTGATACCGGTAAGTTTGAATGAGAAATCTTTTTTTTTGTTTTAAGCTATAGATGCATTTGAGAAGTTTCATAGGAGAATGGTGAAAATACATGGCTCAGATATGAATCAGCATCAGGACTTGTGGATGCACACACACAAGAATGCATCCTCTTGCCTTTGTTCTTCAACTGTGAAGAAAAGCTTAAGTACACATGAGTGAGGTTGCACCTGATGAAGTCCACAGAAATTCCAGTGTTGGAGCACAAATGTAGGAGAAGAAACAGCCCCAGACCTCCTTGCCTAACATTATAAGTCTCCCACACCCTGCCGCTATTCCACAGCGCATTCCTCTTCAAAGTCTGGCCCAAACTCCTTTTTGTCCCCCTCAGAGATTTCTATTTTTTAAAGTGCAGATTAAAATGAATGAGGAACCAGCATGTGGAAGCAAAGCAAATTCCTTGACACAGAATGTGGATCACAGTAGTGCAGAAATTGAGGTGTCCCTATCTACGGCACAGGAAGCACAAAGCTTTCAATTACTCAAGTAAAAATTGTTGTGGAGTTTTTTTGGGGATGGGGGGGGAGATCAAGCAAGCAGATGTCAACCTTTGCCTCCCTCTTGACTTATGATTTTTAAAAAGCTATTGTACAGAATGGTAAAGATTGAGTTTTCTTGTCCATGACTACCAAGGAAGTACAAGCTGAAGTAAAAATAAAATAAAATAAAATAAAATAAAATAAAAAATCAATTGTTCCACAATTGTGACAATTATTAGGTAATGAAGGAATGCAGACTTCATGCAATGCTGGAAAAACAGATTATAAAACAACAATGGATGAATTACGGTAAGTCTGCCTCATACAGAGAGAAAAGAAATGATGGGATGGTTGATACCAGAAATCTGCTTCAGTGACGCAGAACAATTCCTGCCTCTCTGCAGACACCTGCTCTCTATTACTCCCACTCAGCTAGGCTTTTGCACTCCTGTGCGGTGCCTGGTTCACTGCAGCCAACTTCAGTTAAATTGCCATGGTAACTAACACAAACAGGAATGGCCTAGCACAACAAGGCCACAACCACAAGCTCCACCACCCTTAGTCGGAAACCCACAGCCAGTGAAAATGAAAGCAGCCAGTTTCCCC